TAAGTTTAACTATTCTATTAATACCGAAAGTTTGGTTAAATATTCCAAGCAAAATTATTCACATATTTGGAGCGAAATCGATTTGTCATAGAGAAACTTTAGCATGAAATTCCGTCGATGCATTGAATATATTTTCTTGCTTATTTCGAAACTTGGAAATTTTTTTCATTTATTCTTATGGCAACAAGTGAGGCTTGATCGCCAGACCCCTTCGGTATTCATTCCTCACATTAATTTCACCGGTAGTGAACTTCCAAATAGCAGTTAAATGCATACTTGCCGTACTAACCTACATAGTTTTCATCTCAGCTAAAGCTAGCTAAGATGAATCCCGAGTTTGGATAATAATAAATATTCGATCGTATATATGAAGACCAAGATGGCTTGTCTTTTTGTTTGGTCGCAATCTCATTTAGCTGTATAGTCTCTGTTTGACCTCGTTTTCGCGGGACCTTGTGTAACGTACCTAGTCCCGCGTTATCTGCCAGAATATTCATGATAACAGTGAGAGGCATCATCGTTCGCATAAAGTTACAACTTATCACAACAACAACTTTTTATTACGACTTGCCACTGACGATGCCGGCGAAATGTCTGAGAATGCACTATGTCAACGGTCCAATGTTGGAAATCGTGAATATTATGACAGAGGACACAATTATATACGTTCCACAAGGTCTCCCTGTCGCTCCAACTAAGTTGCGAACGCGAGGTCAAACCAACACGTTAATAAATATTATTCATTCAAGAGGGCATAAACCGGGCAAAATACTGATTTTCAATAAAGATTACTATCCCTAATTTCATGCTTTCCTTCATAGATTCCATAGCTTGCATTCTTTCCGATTTAATATATTTTTGCTATGCGATGACGATTGTAAGGACGTATATTTTGGATAATTAATATATTTGAGTGGAAAAATTCTACTACTGGTCCTTCGTCATCTTAAATGAAATAGGGTGAATTCATCGGCCTATTACAGATACGCACAACCGATCCTTGGCACTCTCTCACAACATGGCCCGCCAGCACATGGACAACAGCATCCCCATGATCTTCTGGCCCAGACTGGTCGACAGCAGCAGCAGGCCGTTATTCTTCAGCCTAATCGACACTCTGCGATTTACCTTGCAGGTGCCGGTGGAAATGGCAATAATGGAGCCACTTTCCTGTCGAACAGTCAACATTCAGTCCCTCTTCCACTGCCTCCACCAGCTCAGCATCAGAGTCAGCAGCAGCAGCTGCTTCTTCTTCAACATACTCAAAACCGGTCTGGTCAACTGTTGTCACAAGTTGCTTCTCTCCAACCGTCTACACCTCTTTCCCATCAGCAGCATTCACACTCCGGAGTACCGCCACCTCCGCCGGTCCATGCTTATCCTGCTGGCAGTCAGCTCCAGGCTCAATCATCTCAAGACTATGGACATCAGGCTTCGCTCCAAAACACTATAAGTACAGGAATCAAAGCGTCAAATGACCTTTCGCACCATTATCCCTGGAGTGGCGCAACCTCTGCTACCACCGGCGCTGGCTTCTCCAACATCGGTTCCGCCAATGGTCTTTCGGCCGGCGTTACTTCGTACCGTAATAGTCTGGCCATTTCCACTGGGCTTGCACAGCATGCCCACATTCTGCCCGTCCATCATCAGCACCACTATCGGCATACCCAGACACAATCGTATCAATACCAGCATCAAAACCAAAACAGTGTTCAGGATCAGCTTCAGCTCCCACAACAAAATCTTGCCTATCCGCCTATCCAATTATCGAATCAGCACATGGCAAACGAAGCAGCTCAAAATTCTGCTATCTGTCAAATGAACCTCAGCTATCCACCAACACAGTCGGCTCATTCAGTTGCCTACACCAAAGAACAGGCTCAACAACAGCAACATTTCTCTATTCTTGCAGCCAACAATGGTGGAACTCATGTATATCAGACGGCCTCTGGACCAATCCGACAAACAAAACCTCAAGCATCAGTCAGATCACTGTTATCTGCCGCCATGGGAACCACGTCCTATCGACTAGCTACAAACGGGACAACCTTAAACCAGCTGCCAGTACCTCCGCCACATTTACCACCAGGTGTCGTCGCGTCGAAAGGCAACTCTCAGTGCCACCAACAGCATCAATTATCCTACCAACCGCCTCGTAATTCGATCCACCTCCTCAGCGGCGAGGCCTCAGCACCCATCTCCGATGGCAATATTGGAAGTTGGACAAATAACAGTGCTAGCGTAGGCCCTGCCCAAGTGTCCTCTGCCTCTGGATCTAGCAAGCCGAATTTCGGGGATCCAAATACTACCTCTTCATCCTCCTCTGAATCTTCTTTCTCATTCACTTCAGCAGGTGCGCTCCTCGCGCCTCCTACGCTAACTTCACCAGCCTCTGGGGCACTCCATTTGGCCTCAGTGAGCAACACTTTGTCTTCCGTCGCTGTCTCTCCTGTCTCCGCTACTTTATTTTATACATCTTCTAATTCTTCTGCACCGGCGCCTAGCTCCTTAAGTGGCCATTTGACCCGTCTCCCGGGCTTGACCTGTCTTCCGGCGCAACCAAAGGTACCAGCAGTCGGCCCTACTTCGAGACCTCTCTCAGCTGCTTTCGAGGCAACAGCCTATCAAAAAACTGTCCCTACAGCCAGTTCAATGACAGCAGTTTCGCGCCCTCTAATTTTGACCCAGTCAGGTTTAACTGGAGAATTCACCTCTGCCACAAGCAATTAAAGCAGAAACCAAGTCGTTCATAACCCTTCCTTCGGCTCGAGTAAGTCCAGCTTTCTCACTATGCTTTTAACGAATATTCCTAAGAAGAAATGGGTTGACCTCATTTTCGCAACTTGATCGTTTTGTGAGGGAGACTTAGCTGGGCGCACCTTGTCCCAAGTCCTCTGCTACAGACCGTGGACTTGGTACATTCTCAAACGTTTCGTCGGCATCGTAGTCGATATCATCTGTAAGTCTTACCATTCTCAGCACCAGTCTACAGCTCGTCAAAGAGACAAGTGAAGTCAATTAATTGACCATCTTTTTGGCGAAATGGTTATGCTATCACCCCTCCTCTTTCCTAGCTAATCCACTTACCAACTATCTAGTTTTTTAGTTTACTCCTGCCCTATCACAACTTCTGACTTGTTTACATTCAACTCAGCAAAAGGTGTGATCTTTTTGGCAAGCTTATTGTGGCGTCATCACACCTGCTTACCTTTCCTCCCTTCCACTATCTATTAATCGGGCATGAACCTCCTATCCATATCTCCATTGTCCCGTAGATCCGTTTCTTATCTTTCTGGTTGGCCGATTTCACTTGGCTTCAGTCCCAGTGTACATTTTACTCCAGGCGCTATTTCTCAGATATTTTTCGAGCAGATTACACTCACTAGGAACGTCTTCGCTTGATTTCCGAAATTTGTCCACAACCCTTCTTTCTCGC